AAACCCAAAACTTTGCAGAAAAACACTTGGGATTTTGTTTTTCAATACTATTTCTTAGGGGAGATAGCTCACTTGGTAACCTGAGTTTGATCTCCAGGACCCTCGTAATAAAAGCCAGAAATGAGCAGTGTGGTGGTGGCGCACGCCTTTAATCCCAGCACTCGGGAGACAGAGGCAGGCGGATCTTTGTGAGTTTGAGGCCAGCCTGGTCTACAGAGTGAGTTCCAGAACAGTCAGGGCTACACAGAGAAACCCTGTCTCAAAAGAACAAACAACAAAAACCAGGAATGATAATGTGTGCTTGTAATTCCATCGCTAGGAAGGTAGAGACAGGTAGCTTCCCTAGGGCTTGTTTCCCAGCCAGCCTAGACTACTTGGTAAGTTCCAGGCCAGTGATATAGCAAAAACAATAAAGGTACATAGCACCTAAAGAATAATGCCCAAGGTTGTCCTCTGGCCTCCATAAACACACACATGATAGCAACAAGAGCAAATTTAAAAAGATGTGACAATAACTGTTTTCTGACCAAAAACTATCCAGCCAGAAGAGGAAGATCTCAGGGTGATGGAAGTGTTTTCAGTACTACCCTTCCTTCCCCTTGTGCCAGCCAGGTGAAAGGTGAACAAGATTGAAGAAGGACCCTGACCCTTGACTCCCACTCCTGCCTTCTAAAGTGTGGCACAGCAGTGCTCCTGCCGTGGCTCTGTGGTGTGGAGACCTTGGAGAGAAAGCATTCATTATCGGCACAGTGCATTGAGCACATTTCAAGACAGATCAACTGCAGTTACACCTCAAACACTGAGCCTATCTTGTACCGAAGCAGAGTACTACCTAGTTGGGACAGATGCTTACAATAGAAGATATAGGTACTGGGGAGATGGCTAGTGCACTTCCAGAAGACCCAAGTTTGGTTCCCAGAGCCCATGTTGAATAACTTACAACTGCCTCGAACTTCAGCTCCACGGACCCAGTATCTTCTTGGCCACATTTGTGACACTCTCTCACACGATACACACATACACATGCATAAAATTTAAAAGAAGCTTTCTATTTTGTGGTCTGATTTTGGATACCAAATACATGTGCACTTTTCTCTTTAAAATTCCTTTGAAATTTCTAAACAGACATTGAGGAAATCCAGAGAATCATCAGGTCATACTTCAAAAACCTGTATTCCACAAAATTGGAAAATTTTAAGGAGATGGATAATTTTCTAGATAAGTAACACATACCAAAATTAAATCAAGAACAGATAAACAACTTAAATACACTTATAACCCCTAAGAAATAGAAATATTTATGAATAGCTCCCAACCAAAAAAGTCCAGGCCCAGAAGGATTCAGTGCAGAATTCTACCAGATCTTCAAAGAAGATCTTAACACCAATATACTCCTCAAATTATTCTACACAATAGAAACAGAAGGAACACTGCCAAACTCTTTTTATGAGGCTCAGTTACTCTGACACGATACCCAAACCACACAAAGACACAACTAAGAATGAGAATTACAGACCAATTTCCCTCGTGAACATAGATACAAAAGTACTTAATAAAATACTGGCAAACCGAATTCAAGAACACATCAGAAAAATCATCTACCATGACCAAGTAGAATTCATCCCAGAGATGCAGGGATGGTTCAACATATGAAAATCCATCAATGTAATCCACCATATAAACAAACTGAAAGAAAAAAACACGTGATTATCTTACTAGATGCTGAAAAAGCCTTCAACAAAATTCAACATCCCTTCATGATAAAAGTCTTGGAGAGAATAGGGATACAAGGAACATACCTAAACACAATAAAGGCAATATATAGTAACCCAACAGCCAACATCAAACTAACTGGAGAGAAACTCAAGCAATCCCACTGAAATCAGGAACAAGACAAGGTTGTCACTCTCTCCATATCTATTCGACACAGTACTCAAAGTTCTAGCTATAGCAAAATACAACCAAAGGAAATCAAAGGGATACAAATTGGAAAATAAAAAGTCAGACTCTTGCTATTTGCTGATGATATGATAGTTTACATAAGTGACCCCAAAAATTCTACCAGAGAACTACTATAACTGATAAACACCTTTAGTATTGTAGCAGGATCTAAGATTACCTCAAAAGAAAATCAGTAGCCCTCCTATATACAGATGGCAGACAGGCTGAGAAGGAAATCAGAGAAACATCACCCTTTACAATAGCCACAAATAACATAAAATATCTTGGGGTAACTCTAACTAAACAAGTGAAAGACCTGTATGACAAGAACTTCAAGCCTTAAAAGAAAGAAATAAAAGAAGATACCAGAAAATGGAAAGCTCTCTCATGCTCTTGGATAGGTAGGATCAACATAGTAAAAATGGCAATCTTACCAAAAGCAATCTACAGATTCAATGCAATGGCCATCAAAATCCCAGCACAATTCTTCACAAACCTTCAAAGAACAATACTCAACTTCATATGAAAAAACAAAAACCCCAGGATAGCCAAAACAGTCCTGTACAATGAAGGATCATCTGGGGACATCATCATCCCTGACTTCAAGCTCTACTATAGAGCTATAGTAATGAAAACAGCTTAGTATTGGCATAAAAACAGGTGTACCAATGGAATCAAATCGAAGACCGAGATACCAACCCACACACCTATAAACACCTAATTTTTGACAAAGAAGCTAAAATTATAAAATGGAAAAAAGAAAACATTCAACAAATGATGCTGATAAAACTGGCTGTCAACATGTAGAAGAATGCAAATAGATCCCTATCTATCGCCTTGCACAAAACGCAAGTCCAAATGGATCAAAGACCTCAATATAAATGAATCCCCACTGAACCTCACAGAAGAGAAAGTAGGAAATACATTTGAATGCATAGGCACAGGAGACCATTTCCTAAATAGAACACCAGTAGCACAGACACTGAGAGCAACAATTAATAAATGGGACCTCCTGAGACTGAGAAGCTTCTGTAAAGCAAAGAATATGGCCAACAAGACAAAAGGGCTCCCTGCAGAATGGGAAAATATCTTCATCAACCCCACATCTGACAGAGGGCTGATCTGCAAAATATATAAAGAACTCAAGAAACTAGGCATCAAACTACCAAATAATCCAATTAAAAAATGGGTACAGATCTAAACAGAGAATTCTCAACAGAAGAAACTCAAATGTCAGAAAGACACTTAAGGAAATACTCAACATCCTTAGTCATCAGGGAAATGCAAATCAAACCCACTCTGAGATTCCATCTTACACCAATCAGAGTGGCTAAGATCAAAAACACCAATGACAACTTATGCTGGAAAGAATGTGGAGTAAGGGGAACACTCCTGCATTGCTGGTGGGAGTGCAAACTTGTACAGCCACTGTGGAAATCAGTGTGGTGGTTTCTCGGAAAATTAGGGATCAATCTACTTCAAGACCCTGCAGTACCACTGTTGGGTATGTACCCAAAGGAGACACATTCACACCACAAGGACATTTGCTCAGTTATGTTCATAGCAACATTATTTGTAATAGCCAGATCTTAGAAACAACCTAGATGCCCCTTAGCTAAAGAATGAATAAAGAAAATGTGGTATATTTACACAATGGAGTACTACTCAGTGGTAAGAAACAATGACATCCTAAAATTTACAGGCAAATGGACAGAACTAGAAAAAATCATCCTGAGTAAGGTAACCTAAAACCAGAAAGATAAATATACTATGTACTCACTCATAAGTAGATACCAGACATAAAAGATACCCAGCGTATAATCCGCAACTCCAGAGAAGCTAAAACCCTCTTCCAGAAACAGGTAGAAGCAGTTGCAGAAATCCACAACTAGCCAATGGGCCAAGCTTCTGGAGTACAATCCAAGTGAGGGAGGAGCGATTATATGAACAAAGGAGTCAAGGCCATGAATGGGAAACTCATGGAAACAGTTGACCTGAGCTAGTGAGAGATCACTGACTCAGGTTTGACAAATGGGGAACCTGCATAAGACCAAACTAGACTCCCTTAATATAGGTGACAATGGTGTGACTGGGACAATATATGAGGCCACTGGCAGTGGGTCCAAGATCTAACTCTAATGCACAAACTGATTTAGTGGAGCCCATTCTGTATGGAGAGATACCTTGCTCAGCCTAGACACAGGTGTGTAAGGTGGAGAGATGCCTTGGTCCTGCCTCAACTAGATGATGGGACAGACTTAGTAGACTTCCCAGGGGAGGCCTTACCCTCTTCAAGAAGCTGTGGGAGTGGAGGGAACGGAGAACAGGAGGGAGGGGGAACTGGGATTGGAATGTAAAAATGGGGGGATTCCTTTGAAATTTCTAATATGTGATCTTATCTATCATTTGTAAAGACATTAGGTCCTAAAGTCAGGAGTGAGCTGTTGGTTGGGTTTATAAAGTAATTCTGGTTGACTCTCAAGATGATCTATTCATGAATGAGGTTCTATAGTTGTAGCATTAAAGAGCTTTTATAGAGATTAACCATTTAGAAACTGATGGGAAAAGTAATAGTGTTTCTCTGAGGAATTGTGATACAGATGCGTAAGACAAAGATCTTTGTGATGAATGGATGTTGGACTTGATTGCCTTATTTTAGGTGGGGGCAGCTATTTTCACCTATGCCTGAAAGTAGGCTATTTCAGAACTCCACCTTAAAAACCAAGCATTCTTCATAAAGAATTCCAGATGTTCAGCTACAAAAGTTAACTTCCTCCTGTTTCTGCTGTTGTCGGTTCATGAGTTTGTGTGATCAGAGTGTGATGGTAGTGATGCCCACAGACTTGCTTCACTGTAGGTCAGTTGTACCACCACCCACCTGCCCTTACTCTGCACTAGCAAGCTAACTACATCTTCTTCTAACTACATGAGAAAACCAAAGGGTGGAGTGGTCATTGCAATGCAGACCTCTCTCAAAGACCACAGACCCCACACAGGCAGTCATGGTACCCCAGGAGAGAGCTAGAGCACTGATAGTTCTTTCCACTGTTCCTCTCCAGGGCCCCCGAGATCATCCTTGGTTTGCCATTCTGTGAAGCAATTGACATGTGGTCCCTTGGTTGCGTCATTGCTGAATTGTTCCTGGGCTGGCCGTTATATCCAGGAGCTTCTGAATATGATCAGGTAGGTCTGGGTGACACAGGAACTCAGTGTGTGACTTCATTCTCCATCCAGAAAACCTTGGATTACCATTTCACTTAGAACCTGACATAGGATTTCTGTCCTGGAACTCACTCTGTAGGCCAGGCTGGTCCTGAACTCACAGAGATCCACCTGCCTCTGCCTCCCGAGTGCTGGAATTAAAGTTGTGCGCCCCCACCTCCCGGCCATTATGATAGTCGTATGGGTTGACTTACTGCCTCTTTTGCCTGGCTTCCTCTTATTCCCCTCAGCCCCTCCCCGTGTGTGTGTGTGTGTGTGTGTGTGTGTGTGTGTGTGTGTGTGTGTGTGTGTTTACTCTTTTCTTTTTCTTCTTTTCCTTCTAAAACTAATAATTCCATCTTTCTCAAAATCACTAGAGTCATCGGTATACCATATGTGCAGTGACAGGAAAAGCCCTGACCTCTTTCTCATCTTTTCTTGCAGATTCGGTATATCTCACAAACACAGGGTTTGCCAGCTGAATATTTATTAAGTGCAGGGACAAAGACAACTAGATTTTTCAACCGTGACACAGACTCTCCGTATCCTTTGTGGAGGCTAAAGGTAGGAAAAACACCCCTCCCTCCATGCTGGTGGCCCAATAGTGAAGGAAGAAGGAAAGAAAAAATGAGCTTTTGATATTTTCAAATTGATAGCTTTAATTTGGCCAGAAAATTGGGGATGCAGGATACAGTTGTGAATACAAGCTGTGGTTGGATCTGAATGGTTAAAAACACCTGTTTCTTTGGACTACTGCTGCCTAAGAGGCTGTATTCCATGGGCAGACTGCTGAATTTCTGGGATTTGATCCTTGATGACTTATTTGTGCTAGGTAGGTGGGGCTCAGTATCCACAAGGGAATAGGACCAATGCCCCAAGCTCCTCCTAGGAGGATAGAATGTGGGAACCAAGTGAGCCAAGAAAAAGCTAGGCCAGGGACTAAGGCAGGAAAGAGCATTTGTGCTGGGCCCTGTAGGGCACAGGACTTTCCCAGGATAGACTCAAGCAATGAAAGTAGCCTACACAGTGCACATGTCACAAGCCCCAGGAAGAGGGCAGCTCTGATTCATCCAGGCCCATGTAGTGCACTGCTGGACACCATAACTCTTGATGGTTTTACCTTAATGGAAACATATTTTGCTTTTATTTGTAACCTATGTCTCATAATTAAAATTAACGTACTTGTCCTGGGAAGGAGAAAGTAATAACGACTTTAAGTATGTTATATTTTCATTTTTTACAGTAGGTTGGATTTTAGTGGGTTTGGTTTGGTTTGGTTTTGACAGGACCCCAACCAAATCCTAATACAGTTTAAAAATAATATGTACTTTCAAAGAGTTGGGATTTGAAAGTGAAGCAGGCTCTCAGAGGCTATGAATAGAGCACCTGACATTCAATAATCATGAATGTAAGAAGTCTTCAGGCAGAAGAGGGAGAGCCCAGGTTGGAGGTAGGGGACGGATACTTCTGTGTTTTACCAGGAAACTCATTCTTTGTTCAGCTGCTCCTAGGGGTTGAGCTGCTTCAAGTGTGCTAACCTTTAGCCAGAATTAATTACCTTAGATCCATGGATGAGTCCAAAACCCCATGACAAGTAGCAGCAATAGTTTCCCAGCATAGAGCACAGGCACTGGAAACAGCTGCCACTTGTTGGCCAGAGGCTTTGGTAGGTCCCCAAAGCTTTGTATTCTTGTGTTCCCATACAGTAGAAAGGGAAAGCAGTCATCCTAATGACCGTGCTTATGAAGAGCATTTAGTGAATTAATGTGCCTTAAAACAGTATAGGAGCTATAGGCATAAGGGATTGTTAAGTAAATTAAAAATTTAAAGCATGTCAAAGGGGCTCTGATCTTTCACGGTGAAATCTTATCTTCAACTTATGAAAAGCTGCAGAGGGATAAGGGTGTGGCTCTCATGATCTCTTTAGAATCTTTGGTAGCTGTGTCAGAATAGAAAGGAAGATGAGCTAGTGTGGATAGATAAAGGACACTTTCAGAAAAACCAAAGTCCCCTTCTCTACAGGGTGAGAAAAAGACCCTGGGGCCAAGCAGGAGCTCAAGTGCTTGAGATTCCGTGACTAAGAGAAGCCATCTTACCAGGAACTCAGGTGCTTGAGATTCAGTGACTAAGAGAAGCCGTCTTACCAGGAGCTCAGGTGCTTGAGACTCAGTGACTAAGAGAAGCCATCTTACCAGGAGCTCAGGTGCTTGAGATTCAGTGACTAAGAGAAGCCGTCTTACCAGCTTTTGCCTTTTCCATTAGACACCAGATGATCATGAAGCAGAGACGGGGATTAAATCAAAAGAAGCAAGAAAGTACATTTTCAACTGTTTGGATGATATGGCCCAGGTAAGTTCTGTGGATGAGTACGCAGTACAGCACTTGAAAATTTTAAACACCTGCAGGGCAGGGCTTGGTGGTACATGTCTTTAATCCCAACACTCAATCCTTGTGAGTTTGAGGCTGGCCTAGTCTACATAGTGAGTTCCAAGGCAGCTATGGCTAAATACAGGGACCCTGTCTTAAAAAAACAAACAAACAAACAAACAAACAAAGAACCCCACCAGCAGTGAGATCTATTCAAGCGAAGCACATAGTAGAAGTCCCCACGCCCCGACGGTGCTCATTGCTTTGCTTTTGAACAATATGGACCAGACTTGGAGGTAGGTGGAGGGGAAGCCATTTGGTACATGAAACCAACCCCTTAAAAAAATATTCCATTAAACAGACTCAGAGATCCACAGCCAAGCACTGGGCCAAGCTCTGGGAGATCTGTTGAAGAGACAGAGGAAGGATTGTGTGAGGGAAAGGGTGGTATCAGGGTCATGACAGTGGAACCCACAGGGACAGCTGAGCTGCGTTCATGGAAGCTCACGGACTCTGGACCATCAGCCTGGGAGCCTGCGTGGGACCCACCTAGGCCCTCTGCATGTGTGACACTTGTGTAGTTTGGTCCATTTGCGGGGCTCCTAGCAGTGGGATCAGAACCTGTCCCTGGTTCTTGAGCTGGCTTTTGGGAACCCAATTCTCATGCTGGGTTGCCTTGCCCAAACTTGATGCAGGGGGAGGAGCTTGATCCTGCCTCAACTTGATGCACCATGCTTTTTGACTCCCATGGAAGGCCTGCCCCTTTGTGAATGGAGTCAAGAGGAAGAGTGGATGGGGAAGGGGGTATGTTTGGAAGGGGGAAGGAGCTGGAGGAGAGGAGGGAGGGGAAACTGAGGCCTGTATGTAAAAGAAATGAAAAAAAATAATGAAAGAAAAAATAGCTCCATTGTATTGCTTCTTGTTTGTAAGGTAGTAACCAACCTATTAATGTTTTCTCCTGTGATGCTAAAAGGGCCTGAACCCAGGGCCGTGTTTGTGCTAGGCAGGCACTCAGTGCTGAGCTGAGAAGTCCAGCCCATGGCTGTATTGGAGTTGATGCCCATGGTTCAGTGTGTTAGTTTCCTTGGGCCTCTATAACAAGATGGAATGAATTGAAAGGTTTAAGACAGCACTCATGTATTCTCTCATAGTTCTGGAGGCCAAAAGCTAAAAGTGTGTGGTGTAAGGCCCTCGTGAACACCATCCGTATGCCTGGCTTCTCATGGCCCCTAGCAGCCTCAGAATCCCTTGCTCAAACTGCATCACTCCAACGTGCCCTACATGTGGCTGTTATCCCTGTGTCATCTCTGGTCTCAGTGTCAGATCTCTTCTCTTATAAAAGCACTGGTTATTGGATTTAGGACCATCCTAATCCAATATGGCCTCATCTTAACTTGATTCTATCTGCAAAGACCCTCTTTCCAAACAAGGTCACATTTATAGCTTCCACAGATTAGGACTTGAGTTTAAGCTTTTAGGGGAATCCAATTCAGACCACTATACTCAGTCACTGTCAGCTCACAAGCAGAGACTTTTTCACTCACTACAGACATCTTTTTACCTTTGTATCAGAGATAATTCCACATCTTCGGGTATTTTTATTTAGAGACTAGTCTAAACCCAGAATGAGGTTTCCTTTAAAATGCTGAGAAATAAAACTGTAGCTCAATAAACACTTAGCATACCTCTTAGCAAAGATGAGTGTAACCAGAACTCCTGATTCTGAGTAACGTACACTTGTCATTTGATTAGTAGCTTAAATGGTCTGTGAAAACTGAAATTGCTTTCCAGAGCCCCTCTTGGAAAGCACAAAGCAAGCCTTTGAAAGGCCATGCTGGTGGAGGCCTGCCATCGGGAGGAGAGTCTTGTGTCCAGGTCCACTGCTGGGAACACAGGAGCTGAAACCACTCTGGTCCCAAATCTGGGAGCCATGAGAAGGGTGGAGTAATGAGGATGAAGGAAGAGGGAACCCAGACTCTTCTTTTCTGGTCCAGAGTTGAACAAACATTTTCTGTCTTCTTATGCTGTCTTATCTTAAAACGTTTGAGGGTGTGTGTGTGTGTATGTATGTGTGTGTGTGTGTGTGTGTGTGTGTGTTTATATCTTTGTTGCTATTTGTAGTAAAGCACATTTAGCATAAAGTTTCTCATCTTAGCCTTTTTAAACAAAGTTCAAGAGTATCAAGTACATCCACTCTGTTATGCAATCAGTCTCCAGAACCTTTCCTCCTGTGACTGTTTTTAATAAGGTATGATAAAGGCTGCATTTCGCTTGGCCAGTTAAAACAGGAGCAGGTTTGTGCCTTGTCACGGGGTATATTTTCATGTGTCACCACCCATGGTGGCCTCTTTCTGCCCCTACACCTACCTGGTGCCTGACTGCCTTGGCCATTCTGTTCCTTCAATATAAGAAGCCATAACCTGCGGGCTGGAGAGATGGCTCAATGGTTAACAGCACTGTCTGCTCTTCCAGAGCTCCTGAGTGCAATTCCTAGCAACCACATGGTGGCTCACAACCATCTATAATGAGATCTGGTGCCCTCTTTCTGGCATGCAGGCATACATGCAGACAGAACACTGTGTCATAATAAATACATACATGCGTGCATACATACATAAGTGAAGCTATGACCTGTGTAAGTAGCAGCACACAGGACTATGTGTCTTCCATTGGGGGCAATCTACCCTCTGGAAACTGGGAGGGAGGCGTGAGATCAGAGGTGGTTACAGGGTATGCTCTGGCTCTTACTCCTCTGTCCCTGCTTGCTTCCAGGTGAACATGACAACAGATTTGGAAGGGAGTGACATGTTGGTAGAGAAGGCAGACCGACGGGAATTCATTGACCTATTAAAGAAGATGCTGACCATAGATGCTGATAAGAGGATCACTCCCATTGAAACTCTGAACCACCCGTTTGTCACAATGACACACTTGCTTGATTTTCCCCATAGTACACAGTAAGTGTCCTAAGTGATCCTTGTACCAGGGGCAGCACGTTGAAGGCCCAGATAGTAAATACTCTATAGCCCTCTGGATTCCCCTGCTGCACCACAGTTCTGATAGAGTTGAAAGCAACTGTGATATATCAAATAAGCAAAGGTGGGGTCTGCATTCCAAAAAAGCACTTAGAAAACTTGTAAGGGCTGTACTGGCCCTAAGACTGCGGTTGTACCAAAAAGGAGGGAACCTGGGACATGGGAGACCAGAGTGTCGGTGCACAAAGGAAGCGGGCAAAGCAACAGTGCTTAGTCTAAAGCAACCCAGCATCAGTGGCAGAGGTCCTTCCAACGTTGCCCTGCAGCGAACCAGTCCATTCCCTCGACTTGCTATGGACTCTAGCAAGCTCTGGGTACCGTGAGTAACTAAACAGATTGGCTACTTGCCCACTAAGTCTTCAGAGGGGAAGATATAGAACAGTGGCTGTTACCAAGAAAGGAATGGGGGTGTTATGAGTCAGTATGACAAGGAGCTGACTCAGCAGGCCAGAAGACCACAGTGCAACCTCTGAAGATGAGGAAGAAGACGGGTGTAAGCAGTCAGGCACTGCCTATGTGAGCTCTCCAGCATGACTAAACATTGGACACAGGGACAGTGGGTGACATGCCATCGAAGTTAGAGCAAACCATGCTCAAGGAGGATTTTGTCTCTTATCAAAAGCACAATGTAACTCATGAAGACTTAGAAGCAGCTGAATGGTTGGTTAGATTTGTGTTGAATATAGACCTAACTGCTGCCATATCGGTAATCTAGAAGGAAAAAAAATGTCTGTAGGATCTTGCAAGTGGGAGGGTGTGTTGGCAACTTAGTGACAGCCATTTCCAAGCAGAAACTTGTTCAGCAGGTTAAAAGATGAGTGAGAGTAGGGAAATGGATGGCAGCCTTACAAGAAGTGAGGCTGTGAAAGGGAGGGAGGAAACAGAAGGTCAAAAGGGACAAGAGGAAAGGTTTTGAGAGTGAGGAAACAAGAAAATATTAATGGGAAGAACCTGGTAGCAAGTGAGGGTTCAAGGAGAAAGATGCTTGTGACCAGTTTCTTCTGATGGTGTTCTAGCTGAGTGGAGAGGCGGGCAAGAGGAAGGTGTGGGCGTCCACAGGTGCACTGGATAGCAGAGGAGCACTGAGGGAGTTCCTGTCAGACAGCTTTGTCTCAGAAATAGAGGTGGAGTCACTGGTTAAGAACAAGAGGAACGGCGGCTTTAAAACTGGGCATTGGCATGATGGCTGTGGCTGGAGCGATGGCCCAGGGGTAAAGAGTCAGCCGCACAGATGTGAGGGCTGGGCTTAGAATCCCTGGCACACACATAAATGCCAGGGGGTCTGCCTGGAATCCTAGAGCTCAAGAGGTGAAGACAGAGGATCCCAGGGGCAAGCTGGCTAGCTAGACTACTTGAGGGTAGTCAAGAAAGGTACTCAGGAGAGCTGGAGAGGCAACTCAGTGGCTAAGAGCCCTTCTGCTTTTCAAATGACCTGGGTTCAAGTCCCTGCACCCACATGGCAGCTCACAACTGTCTGTAACTTTTGTCTCAGGGGATCCAGTGCCCTCTTCTGGCCTCCCCGGGCACCAGGCAAGCATACAGTGCACAGACAAACACATAGCAAATCACCTGTACACATAAAAAAAAATTTAATTAAAAAAAAAGATACTTGGGAGCTGGAGAGATGGCTCAACAATTAAGAGCCCTTACTGCTCTTCAGAGGACTGGGGCTCAGCTCCCAGCATCCACATCAGGTAGCTCACAACCATCTGTAACTCCAGGTCCAGGGGATCCAATGCCCTATGGCCTCCTCGGGCACACAAATGATGCACACACACAACCACTCTGAAGTGTGTCTTATCCATCAGTTCTCTTCCATAGCATAGTGAACTAACTGATGATCCTAAAGAGAAAACGTATTTACTGGTAATCAATACCATGCCTGCCCACAGCTCCTGCTGAGTACCTACCTAGTCTACTCCAGTACTACAAGTACTTCTACTTAGATGAGCAGGGTCCTGTTCTTTGTGTTCAGTAAGGAAGCATCCCTAGTTTCATTGAGGAGCAGTGGCAATTTAGAACTTAGAAGTCAGCATAAAAAAGAGAGACAGGCCATCCCTAGGCCTACCTGAGAGTGGGCTGAATCTTTTGTGGGTTCCCAGAAGACCATGGAGAACTCTAGAGTAGAAACAAACATGCAGACCTACCCACCCTTGGGGCTGAGCCTAAACTGCTCCACAATGAAGTTTTGCAGATGAAAGTGAAACCCCTCGTTTCTCTACACCCAGGTTCTAGTAAAGGCCAGTCTTCTTATAAACTAACCCAAAGTAGAAGTACTTGTCTCATCCTAACAATCAAGCTCCACCCTGCAATGAGAAAACTGCAGTCTGAAGATTATACATTGAGCCATACAAAAATCACTGATGCTTTAAGAGTGTTCCAAAAAGAATGCATCTGGCATCGTTTTATTGTCTTTTGCTCTATGTGAAAGCACCGAGCAATAGGCTAGATAGGTACTTCGCAGAAGCTGTGGGTGGGCATGGTGTCGCTTACCAGTGAATATGTTTTCTCTCTAGGACCATCCGTTTGCTAACTATGTGTTGTATATCAAGTAGCCAGTGTGAATAGTAGTTGGTGTGAATAGCCATTAACTTAGAAAGAAGTAGGAATCTCTAGGTCATGTCTATGTTCAATTTCTGAAATTTGGAAATCATATTCTAGGATAGCCTATTAACACCTATTTAGTTCAAAATAGAGCACACCTGTAGTATACAGCAATTTATACAAATTTTAAAGTAGTAGAAAACTGTTACCTTTTTTATATTCAGTTACTGCAGTAGACATTTTAAATTGTAGATTCAGTGAGATTTTATCTTGAATATTAGTGCTTGAGGAAAAGTGAACCTAACAAAGGCACAGTGTATGAGGAGCAGAGTATGAATTGAGTAAACACAGTGGATGGCCAGGAGCTGGAGTGGCCAAGGCCACTGAAATGCCTTCATGCTCGTACCTGCACTCCTTTAGTACTGTTGTAGTTGGGGCTTTGGTTTTGAATCACCAAGACAATGGAGGAAGAAGAGGGGGAGAGAATTCTACTTCATGTAACTAGACAAGAATTAAAAAAAATGGTTAAGGAAATTGGGAATGTGTATGCGAGAGTGGGGCAAGTAGGGGTAAATTGACAGTTAGTAATTGTCTATCTGGCAAATTATCTGTCCTAAACCTTCGACTTTATTTATAAAATTGAGACAATGATCATAATTCTGTCTTGTGGATGGTGTAAGACTGAGAGGGATATTTTAAATATATACCACTCCTCAGTAAAAATTAGTCATCATTGTCATTGTTGACAGGTTCCTGCGAGAAGTCAGCTACCTAAATTCATGACCCTGGATGGGAGAATTGTTTGACTGACCTAGATGGTGCGCCTAGGGTCATTAGAATGGGGGAGGGGTAGACAAGTTGGCTCTAAGGAAGGTGGAAGTAGATTGTAGCAGCTCCTTAATATCCTGGGTTGATGAGTGAGAACTACACTGAGAATGAGCAGTGAGATTCGAGGCAGAAAAGTAATGGGAGGAAGGTACAATGAAGCGTGCCTGTGGTGTGGAGGTTGCCCATCCAGGACGGGAGGAAGGGCATCGAGACTCACAATGGGGAACTCTCTCTCACAGTGCTGACAGTTCCAGGAGCAGACTTTGAGAAGGCCAGGTTACCGTATTAACCATTCTCTCCTTCTCTCACTGTTTTCTCTCCTTCCCCCCACCTCACCCTCTTTCTTGTCCCTTGTGTCTCTGCCTCTACCTTTTGAATGAACAGTGTCAAGTCTTGTTTCCAAAACATGGAGATTTGCAAGCGCCGGGTGAATATGTATGACACAGTGAACCAGAGCAAAACACCCTTCATCACACACGTGGCCCCCAGCACATCTACTAACTTGACCATGACATTTAACAACCAGCTGACCACTGTCCACAACCAGGTGAGTGTCAGACACCAGGGAAAGGTGGGCAGGGCCACCAGTGGGCATCAGGACTCAGATGTACCCCAGCTGTCCCCCAGCAGACCCAACAGGTTTCCCTGTGTTGTCCTTTCGGGTCTGTAAGCTGAAGTACTTGCTCCGTGATTAGTTTTAAGGGGCCAAGATCTCTCTGTTCTGACTACTGCTCCCTGAGATGGTACCTCTTCCCATCTTCCTCCGAGCAGATGTGGAAACGGAGCCTTCTAAAAAAGTTCTAGGACCAGTACAGCAGGAGTCCCTCCTAGCACCCCTGTGTGCATATGGTCTTTATTCAGGAGAGGTAAAGCCTGTCCATTCTCTGAGTCATAGAAAAGCCAGCTCATGGGTCTGTCCCTGGAATCCTAGAAACTTTACCCAAGGAATTCAGGAAACTGAGGTTTCCTTTACACAGATCCCCAGCCTTCTGCAGATGGGAAGACTCCACAGCATAGATTGTTTGAGATGCAGATGAGATTCGGGAAATGGACACTAGAGGAAGAGTCTCCACCCTAGTTCATCTGCCTCCAGAATCTGTGACTCCCATCTTCAGTCTTAAGTCTCCAAAGAAGTGTTCCCAGACATGGCAGTCTTAGTGTCAGTGTGCGATGACAAGGGCACAAGCGCACACACTCCTTCAAAGAGAAGTAACTATGTAAACTGATGTGTGAATGCCATCACCTGAGTGCCACCTTCAGTTGCCTGGTCCTCCTGGCACTCATGAGTCACCGGCCTGTTCCTACTCACTGCTGTTCCCTCCTAGCTTGACTTCCAGTTACTAGCTCTTCCTCTGCTTAGACTCTCAGTGCCATCTGGAATCCGCTGCCCCCTGGAGGCCATCAGTTCTCAAAGATGTCTTAGAGTGAAGAGCTCATTTTCCTGCCAGGCCTGAGGTTAAGGCTTTTTGCATCTAGAGTTTCTCAACACGGGCCACTGGGGTTTTCTTCATTACCTTGAGGCTTGCTTTTCCCGTCCTTAGGAGACTCTTGATCCTAACTCCCTAACCTCAAATCCCTTGTCCCCATCGGCCACCTGGCTGTTCCTTCCATTACCCAAGGATCTAAGAGGACACATGGGAAGGGAATTCCTCCAATCATGTGTCAGGTCAGGTGAATACCCCTGCCCTCCAGCCTTTCCATGGACATCTTCATAGGCTTCAGACTGGAGGGCTGGAGGTCCCTGACTATAACAGAACAGGTTACCTCCGTGTTTCCTATGATAGGACAGGCAGCATATCCATTCCAAAGAATATCACCAAAACTGAAAAACGCAAAGGCAGGTCCCAAATAAGAACACCTCTGTTCTCCATGGCCCTGAGACCTGCAGAGCTGGCCAGGTTGAACTACAGTTGAAAAGACTGTTAACTTCGTATAATGGTGGGCTTGAGCTCTGGGAAATGAAATGCTGCCCTACTAAAGCATGATCCTAAGAACAAATCCTCCGTCATCTGAACTCAGAATTGTAGATCCTAATTAAATATAGCATAAAAACAAGTTTGTCTGGTTATACCCTAGACCTAAGCACGAAGGCATGCTTTCCCTCCTCTGATAATGTTATGAAATATTCATTATTACTGACAGTAAATACCATTGTATCAGACTTGTTTCAGCATGGCATCATCCAGTCTTTCCAGCATCCCTGTGGAATAGGTATTGTCATGGGCATTTTAGAGGCAGAAACTGAGGCACAAGGCAGTTAATCTCTTACCTAAGGATGCCTGTTAGTGCATCTGAGATGGGTTTGGCCTTTGATTCCAGCAGTCTGCTATCAGAGTCTGCACTCCTGAAACACAACAAGACCTCTTTTGTATGTTAGTGACCCAGTGCTGTTTCCCTTCCGTGAGGTCCTTGGGGTTTTTCTGCTCATTCTAAATGTTAGATGTCTAGAAGCAACAAAATACGCCTACAGTTTCATGTTAGTGACAGGACGAGAACTAGTTCTGTGCTGCTCTTAACATACATCCAGTAGACTTGGGATCTTTCCCAAGTGGTCACTAATCTCTAATTGCTTATGTCTCAAGGACGATGGCTCAATATACCATATACAATATACCATAATTATGTACTTTCAAAAACTATTAGTAACCAGGTGGTGGTGGCACACACCTTTAATCCCAGCAAGCACTCAGAAGACAGAAGCAGGTGGATCTCAATGAGTTCAAGGCCAGCCTGGTCTACAAAGTGAGTTCCAGGACAGCTAGGGCTACACAAAGAAACCCTGTCTTTGAAAAAAAAAAAAAAAAAAGAATCACTTGGTCCATCTTTGTAACATAGGTTGCCAGTGAACTTGCTTTTTCTTCTCATTTGCCTTTGTTAGCCAGGACAGCTATTAGCAGGTGATGTCACTCTTAAAAATCTCCCTCACCCTCTCACACACTTCCACCAACTAATCCGGAGCAGCGTTGGAAATGGAGGGCAACTGTCACCATGCCTGCTCACACGGGGGACTGGTGCTCACAGCAGGACATGCGTTCTACTTTTCCTTCCTCGACTCTACAAAGAGATCATCATCTTTGTAGATCCCTCCCAAGGAGCTCGTGATCTCCATGGTAAAACATGAGCTAAAACAGATCCAGATACAGACTGCACACAAGAGGGCCCAGTAAGGCAGACAAGCAGAGGACCACAAGTAGAACCCAGGCCCTACTCCCAGGGAGGCATCATTCAGGATGCTGACTACACTGCCCAGCACAATCTGCTAGGGAGCCAAAGGATTCCTAGGAGATGAATAGTCTATGCTTCCAGTGAGCTAGTAGACTAATGTCCTGAAGAAAAAGATAGCTAACATTTATCAAGGAAGGTAACAGAGGGACTTTAGAAAGCAAAAAGTACTGGTCCAGGATGCATCCAACACATTCATGAGGCTGTCGCTGGCGTTTGTGAGCAGCAGTGTAGGTGCAGAGCTGGGTGCTAATGTGCAGAGTGGTCTCTAAGAGAATGAGCCAAAGCTGGGCCTCTTCCAGAGCACCCACATTGTAACTCCAGTCCCAGGAAACACTGTGCCCTTTTCTAGCCTCTGCGGGCACTAGGCACAGGCATGCTGCACAGACATACATGCAGACAATACACCCATACATGTTTTTTAAATTAAAAGAGAAGGAGAAAATAATGCTGTGCCCAAGAATTGAAAGAGAGGTGGAGTGCATACGTCACTAATAAAGGCACCAGAGAACAACTGGAACAAGTCACTGGGTCCTAGGGATATTTGGAAGGCCAGGCTTCAGAACAGTGACTGTCGGAGGATGGGGCAGCACGGTCAAATGGGAAGACACTGGTGCCACAGCCCCAGGCAGGGGACCTTGAGGACCTGAGCTTGTAGGTCTGAGTTGTGGCAGTAGGAAATGTGCTCAGGGAGCTGTTATGTCATCAGCACATAGACACTGGATCCTCCATGTGCACACATGTCCCCACCATATTTCCAGGAGGCTGAAAATGAATATACACTTACGATACGCAGCTCAGAATCGAAATAAGTGTGTCACAGGAGTTCGTAACCATTTTCAAATAAATGTATTGTCTTGTACTAAAATTCAGCCCAAAATCTATATAACAAACTATGCAACTATGCAGAGCCAAAGATACAGCTCAGTAGTAGACCTACCTTGTGCACTCAAGGTTCTGATTTGGTTTTTTTAAGATTTATTTATTTATTAAATATACACCAGATTGATGGTTATGAGCCACCGTGTGGTTGCTGGGAATTGAACTCAGGACCTCTGGAAGAGCAGCCAGTGCTCCTAACCTCTGAGCCATCTCTCCAGCCCAAGGTTCTGATTTGTCTGATTGTCCTAGCATCACCCAAAGAAAAAGTAAAACAAGACTCTGCCCTTTTTTTAAATGAAATTTGGCGTTAACTCCACTAGAAATTCCCCTTACATGTGTGTCCAGTATTTACTCTAAGTCTACCTCCTCCGTATCACTTAGTTCTTACAACCTCTACCCTTTTAATATAATTCCTCATGTTGTAAGAGGAACCCCAACCATAACATTATTCTGTTGCTACTTCATAACTGGAATTTACTAGTGTTATGAGTTGTAACATAATATCAGATATCCAGGATATCTGATATATGACCCCCAAAGAAATCATGACCCCCAGGTTGACTGCCTCTCTTCTAGAGGTACAACTCCTTGTAGACAACGTTCAATCTGAAGCCATTGCTAACCTCTGCCTCTCTTTGCTAAGGAGAGAAATGTAAGAATTCCCAGCAAAGAATTTGCTTTCCCTCTACAGGTCTGTTTCTGTTGGAAGTTCTGTTTCAGAAGTCAGATACAGATGTTTGCATATACTGCTTTCATGGTAGCAGTGTCCTAGGTGGGCTAAGGGTGTCTCTTTAGATCCCAGCAAGAGTCTCCCCTTCTTTCTGGTGCCTGGGCTTCCCTGCTGAGACCCGTTTATCTGGGACCAGGCCTGCAGGGGCCGCCCAAGCATAGACTACCTGGATCCACGGGAGGGGGAGTGAGCTAAGGCGGAGCTCCTGGGTGGCAGCATAAACGTGCATCTAAACCCCTCAGGATGGTGGAGCCTTGCTGGGACAAGGAGAAGAAACGCAGGGCTCAGCTTTTCCCACCCTCCCCATCATCATATTCCACTGTGGAGCCCAAGGAATACGAAGGCTCTCAGCCCAAACCTGCCCTTCTGGAATGAAGCAGACTTAATTAAATGCTTTATTGTTTGTTTTTCCCCCTGATTAGGAGCTCATGTAGCCCAGGCTAGCCTCATGTGGCCCAGGTAGCCAAAGATAACCTTAAACTTCTGATCCTCCTGCATCAGCCTCTTGAGTGCTAAAGTCACAAAATGCACAGAAAATTACATAGTTGTTTTTATGCAGTGCTGGGCATTGAACCCAGGGTTGCATGCATGCTAGGCAAGCCCTCCACTGAGGTCTGTCCCCAGACCCTCAGTCAGTTTTTTAGACTAAGTAGTGAGCTGTGTGGGTCCCACAGATGTGAGGGTGCAGGTGCCTCTGCCTTCCTCTGAGGGATTCAGCGGGATTCCTGCCCCTCCTTCTGCTTTATTTTCTTTGCTCTCCTTTAAATTCATTTATTTGATTTGGATTTGTGTCTCCCAACATACCACCTCCCTCATTTTTTATTTTTGTTTATTTTTGTTTAATCCCCATCATTCCTTTAGGCTCCCACTTCCTCCAGTGCCACTCTTTCCTTAGCCAATCCCGAAGTCTCCATACTAAACTACCAATCTACACTCTACCAGCCCTCAGCGGCATCCATGGCCGCGGTGGCCCAGCGGAGCATGCCCCTGCAGACAGGAACAGCCCAGATTTGTGCCCGGCCGGACCCCTTCCAGCAAGCTCTCATCGTGTGTCCCCCTGGCTTCCAAGGTAAGGCTAAACTGGTTCTTGCCGGACCGCCTCTAGGGTTCTAAGCCCTGCTGCTTCTTGGAATGCTCACTGTCAGGGAAGAAAGCCCTCTTCCTTTCCTTCATTTGAATGCCAGTATCACTGAATTTGGAGGCTGCTCTCCTGTGGCCACCAACCTAGAAACAATGCGACTTGTGCTGAGTACCAAGTCCATTTGTTGTTGTTCTCAGCACCTGCCAGAGACTGTGGCCCTGGCCAGCTGCCTGTGAAGAGGCCATTGTCTGGCTCCATTGTTATGCTGATGTCAGCTCCCGCTTGGCTTGCCTGAAATGCTCTCTGTAGTTATCTGTAGAGAATTGCCAGTCTCTGACAGCCAGTACAGGCCCACTTCATGTGGGGAATAGAAATCTGTCTGAAAAGGGCCTCCATGGGCCTCCTCCCCTTTGGCCATGATCCCAGAGCTCTTTTTCTGTGAACTCTAAACAGTTAGAGAAGACTATGCACCTCGTCACACTTTACACGAAAGCTCAAGGACAGATTTTTGCAAAGCACCCATGTGAGCATGTACACTGGTGCTCAGATCCCATCTGTACAATCCAGAGAGCCTGCCACTCTGTCCCCAGCGTCCTTTGCTGTGACACTCAGTTATCTCTCCTCTTGTAATTTCTCATCTTAACTGCCCTGTTTTGAACCATACATAATTTAATTTGGAGGGTTGTGTTTGTGTGGGATAGGGGACTGCTTTTTAGCTAGAAACTAAAAGGAAAACATCTCACAGGTGAGCAGTAAAGCTCACTCAGTGACTAGAATGGTCTCTTCAGCTGTCAGTCATTCATCTCCCTCCTGTCCCTCACCCATGTCCTGAACAGGCCTGCAGGCCTCTCCCTCCAAGCATGCTGGCTACTCAGTGCGGATGGAAAATGCTGTTCCCATCGTCACTCAAGCTCCAGGAGCTCAGCCTCTTCAGATCCAACCAGGTCTGCTTGCTCAGGTAATTCTCGTCTGTTGTATTGCTCCCATTCCCATCAGCCATTTCATGCTTTTCCAAAAGACATGTGTCTCTACTGACTCCCTCCCTGCTCATCAGGCAGGAGCTCCTGGGCATTGGAATGTGTCAGTAATGTTCTAAGTGATCCCTGAGTCAATTGCCTCCCTAAGCATCTAGTGACAATTCCGAGAAGAAATTTAGATACGGTGAGTCTAGGGGAATTATTATTATATCTTTGTAAAGCAAATTCATCTAGGAGACCTAGGTTTTAATCCTAAATCTGCTAGTAATTCTCGGTGACCTAAGGCAAGTCAGTTAACATCTCTTTGCCTCCAATTTCTTGTAAAATAGAGGTGATTCTTAGAGCCAAAGGAACCCTGGGGATTATCCCTTCAAAAAGAGTTGGGAAAAAATGACTTGTAGAAGCTATGGGCTGGAAACCTTCCTTTCTATCCATCTAGGTATTCTAACTGTGGAATGAGATCACAAAGATGAAAAATGACTGAAAATGTGTAAAGTGTTATACGAGTTTATAGTAATGGTACTGGTGCAAAACCAGAAGGCAATCCTTAATGATACTTGAACTCTAATAACAAATGTATTGTCTTTATGCCATGCATTTTACAGTTAATTTGTCTAATCCCCACAACACAGAAAGATACCTGTCCCTTCTTGACAAGTAAGAAAACTAAAACAGAGTTTTGCTCACAGCCAGGTATGGTGCACACATCTGTCATACCAGTACTCTGCTGGCTGAGGCAGAATTGTGAGTTCAAGGCCATGCTAGGCTACATAGTGAGTCTAGGTCATCCCGCACTACACAGTAAGACCCTGTCTCAAAACAAAAACATTACACAACTAAATGTAAGAACCAGGACATAGTCAAGACATCTGACTGCAGTTAAGAACACTGGCTGTTCCTCCAGAGGCCCTGAGCTCAATTACCAGCACCCACATGGTAGCTCAAAACCCTCTTTAACACCAATTCTAGGGGATCCAGTGGCTTCTGCAGGCACCAGGCACACAGAAATGCATGCAGGCAAAACACTCATACACACAAAGATAATAAATATTTTACAGCTTTTGCTACTATTGATTTTATTGACACTTGTAATCATTTGCTTTCAGTCTGTAGGAATATAGCTGATTTGGGTCATCGGGCTACCCTTCTGTTTTATGAATCCTTTTTACTTGCACATAATAGTTTTGTCTCTTGTTCTTTGGGCCTGGCACTCTTTTCCTGTTGCTCACATGTCCTGGGCTGAGTAGAGCAGTTCAAAATCATGTTTAGTAACAGATGAGACTAGGGATCTTTCTAAAGGAAACTGTTATACCTACTTCCCATTAGGCATTTTATTGCTTCTAACAGAGATGTCATGTTTTAATTTTTAAGTAAATATTGTATTATCAAATATACTTTCTCATCTATTTGGATAACCATGTGACTTTGTTCCCTAATCTGTTAATGTAGCAAGTTACATTAATAGATTTTGTAATGTTAAATTATCCTTATATTTATGAGGTAAACTCTGATCATGTTGTGCTTGGTATGATGACATGCTTTTTGAGCTCAGTTTGCAACTACTATAATTAGTTTTTTTATCAGTCTTCATAGATGAGAAATGACACATGATTTCCCTTTCTTAGGAAATCCTCGTCCAATCTGAGTGCATGGTAACAACAGTCTCATACAGACTTGGATGTCATCACCTCTTCTGTGTTCTAGAACCACTAAGATTGGATCTTTGTTCGTAATCTAAACTGACACTGCTCAAGTGACAGCTAACACCAGCAATTGGTGACAGTGTTGTGTCTACAGAGAACCTGTATTTAAAGTGGGCTTGTCCCTCCCTCTTTCATAGTCCTTTTAATTTTCTTTGTTGTTGTTGCATAGTTCTGTGGTGAGGAGTTCAGAAAAGGCCATTATAAATCAAAGAAGAACTACAGAAAGATCAGTCTAGGTCAAGACATTTGCTCACCCTTTATCTGAGTGTCAGAAGTCCAAACCAGCCTCCCAGTGAGCCCAGAATCTATAGATTTCCCTGTGTACTTTCCAAGGTAATTGCAGACACTTTCTTGTATTTGCACACTGAATGCAAGGAAGCCAGGAGTGAGCTCTGTTAGAAATACCAAGCATGGCTTTCTAGCTAAAAGAGGCATTCCTCATTGTTCAGTGGAGTGGAACCAACAGGCTCAGCATTTCTGAATTTGTCTCAGTCCTTTAATCATGGTGGGAAGAGTCCTCCCTCCTGCTTACTTGAAAAGAGTCTCTAGTGTTGTAAAGCTTCACGTTGATTTCACCTAAATCTGTAATTGGAAAACTGGACAACAACAAAAATGTATGTGTAGGATTTTAATTGCTATAGTGTTTATTAAAAGGAACCATTGGAAGCAAGTTGAGTATTCCTCACTACGGAATTTGTTGAACCAACATCAAGTGGGACAATGCGCACCCACTAACATGGACATGGTAGACCTGTGTGTCTTCACACACAGACTGCAGAGACACACTTCCTATTTTAAAAGTGCAAGCGTCCCTCCCATCCAGTGTTGCTCTGGCTTGTGGCTGACTACCTTTCCTTCTATTTGTCACTTAATGTGTCCCAATGTGCTAGCCTGTTAAAATGAAGTCATCTCCTGTGGTTTGTCCTAAGGAGCATATAAATACACAGGAACTTAAAAACTAAGTGATAGCTATTTTTAAGGTAATAACTATTGCATTTTGGATTTTCATTTTTCTGTGAGTAGATTTCTAGGTTATCAGGCACAAGATTTCTAAATACTATTATGTGCCTTTAAACGTATCCCCAAATTTGATTGTTTTCTTCTAAGCATTTAAAATCTTTTGAGAATTTTGTGACGGTCTAGAGATGGACCCTTTATATGTATTCCTTATGTTAGTTTGACTTCCTTCCCCAGCAGTAGCATGTGTCCCCTATAAAGAAGCAAGCCTCTGGCACACCTCAAAGATGTGTGCATAGCAAAAGAGTGACCTTTACAGAAACCCCTTATAAAGGAGTCTCTTGATACTTCCTGAAAGGTCCGTGGCCTCCACTTTCTGAAGCCTAGAGCCCCAGTTAGCACGTTGGCTACAAGAGAAACTGTGAGGGATCAGGTAAAAGTCGGGAGATGGGAGGTACAATTCTGAGTGAGATCGTATTAATTCATTTTTTCAAGGACCAGAATCCAAAACTCCCTCTCACAAGATCAAGTCAGAAATGACAGATCCTATTAGACTCCACTTTCAATGAAGAGGGTTTGCATTCTTGACCAGTTGAGTCGTATGGCCAAGGTTCCTGTGTTTCCCTGAGGATAGGTGACTAAACTATTCACTCTGCCAAAACCGTGTGCTTCTCACTCCAAGCCTCCACTGATGGCATTTCAGCAGCCAGTCTTTGCAGCCATTATCTTGCTGTCGACTTCTACCTCACTTGGCACTGAAGCTGCTAACAGATAAGGAAGATTTGTTCATGCCAGCTTTGTGTAGCTAACACCCACCCCAGATTCCAAAAAGGGTTGTCGTGTTTGTGTTCTCCATCAAGTGTGTTTGGGTGTTGGCTGAGGGCGTGGGAATCAGATCATCTGGGTGCACACCCGCTGCGCCCCTTGCTGCCTGCCTTGGGGGCGTGGCTCTGACATCCAAATTTCATCCTTCTTCAACTTAACATCACACATTTACTAAACATAGTCCTCTATCCCGTCTTTAATTTCTCCCATCCCAAAACAACCTCTAATTTGACCAGTCTTATGAAAATCCATATAATATTCTAGAGTGCTTTTCTATTGATTCTTCCATGTTTTATTATAAACTGACTTCCTGTTTGTATAATGAGGCCTTAGCTCTCCAACCCATTCCTACTGCCATCAGTCTCTTCCTTCATTCTTTCATTCTCCTATTCTTCCCAAGTAATTTGTGGTTCAACTTTTATACTTTTTGTATAATTATTGTCAGTCGTATGGCATTGCTCTTGATGAGCTTCATAATGCACTGACTATATTTCCTTCCTTACGTGGCTCCTTGTTTTCCCTAGAGTTAATAGCTGCTCCCTTTTCCACTGGGTTGTCTGTCTGAGATCATTCTAAAGCTGTAAGTGGCTTCTGTGTTTGACATGTTCAGGTTTGAATGTATTGAGTTCAGTATATTATTTGCTTCTATGAAACCTTTCAGACAGTCTTCTTGTCCACAGTTTGTCTCAAGATAAATGACTTCATGCCTTCTTGTTTTCCATACCTTGTCCTAGACTCCCTGTTGCCGTTTACTCTGAGTTTTGTTGTTTGTCCTTTTAGCAATGTTTTCTGTTTTTTTTTTCTTTGCAAAAGTCTTATTAATTGGATATTGTTACTCTGTTTTGTGTGCTGATGTGTGCATCTGTTGATGCATGTATGTGAGTGGTGGATGGGTATGGGTACACATGTGTGCTGGCTGGTTCTATGTCAACTTGACATAAGCTAGAGTCATCTGAAAGGAGGGAGCTCCAACTGAGAAACTGCCTCCATAAAAATCAGACTGCAGGCAGGCCCGTAGGCCATTTTCTTAATTAATGATGGATGGGGAAGGGCCCAACCCACTATGGATACTGCCACCCCTGGCCTGATGGTTCCGGATTCTATTATATATTGAAGCAGTGTCTCTCATGTGAATCTAGACCTCTCTTGCTAGTGTAGTCTAGCTTTATAGTTTGCTACAGAAATCCTGTCCTCACCTCCCATGCCTGGCATTTACGTGGGTGCTGAGTGTGCAAACTCTGTTCCTCATGCTTTGATGGAAACACTTTACCCACTGGGCCATCTCCCCAGCCTGGATGTTTATACTCCTAAATTAATCTCTCAGCGTTTCTTTTTTATTATTATTATTTATTTTTAAATGTAAATTAGAAACAAGGTTGCTTCACAAGTCAGTTCCAGGTCCCTCTCTGTTTCCCTCCCCTCCTCCCGTGCCCTCCCCCCATCTCAGCGTTTTTTATCTTTCCGTGTGTGTGTGTGTGTGTGTGTGTGTGTGTGTGTGTGTGTGTGTGAGGGAGGAATATTACCTTCTGAGAAATTTCTTTCACTTTTTTTGAAATTTTTTTGACTTCTCCTTTTCCGTTGCCATTGTTCTCGTTTCTGGGAGCTCCTTATCTTGTTCCATATGTATATATCTATAAGAAGTAAGACACATATATTTTAAACTCTGGATATTAATTATAGACAATTATAGATCTCTGGGATTTGCTTTTGTTTCCTATGAGTTTCATTTGATTTTTGCTTTGACCTCTTCCACCTCAGATGCTCTCTAAAGGGCTCCCTTTGTCTGTTCATGGGTACTTGAGACTGGGACGTTAGACTGCCCAGCACCCTGAGAAAACTGACAGGACAGACTACTGAATGCGGGCTTCCCTGTGGAGCGTCAGAAGCCAGCCCCCTTACCCTCAAATGTCACACATGTGGCCCGTTTCTCTTCACCGTCTCCTCATTTTCCCTGGAGAATCAGAGTGCTAACTTTCTTGGCAATTGACCATCTGTTGTTATACCTCTCAAATCTTAACTGTTGTCTGTCCTCCACTCTCCTTGCTTCTATGAATCTGTATATTTCATTTCTTCCCTGTCATGTTAGGTTCAGAGAAAACAATAATTTGCCATATTTTCTAAACAAGTCATTTAACCTCTGTCTTAGTTTATTCACCTAAGAAATGGGAATAAATAGTAGTCCTTACCTCATAGGACCAATGTTAAGTTTGAAAATCTATGACTAAACACTGATTGGCACACAATATGGATCAAGAAATATTAGCTCCAGCCAAGCATAGTGGTATGTACCCATAATTCCTACACTTGGTAGACTGAGGCAAGGACCATCTTGAGCTCAAGTGCTATCTGGGATACACAGCAAGATTCTGTCCCAAAAAGGGGAGGAGGACAGCAATATGGCTCAACAGTTAAAAGTGCTTTCCTTGAAAGCCTGGTGACCTGAGTTCAATTCCCGAATCACAAAATAGGAGGAGAGAACCAAGAACTGACTCCCAAAAATTGTCTCTAGAACCTCCGAATGCATGCATGTACTCACGTGTCATACAGACACACACAATAACAATAATAATGAGTTCTATTCTTGGTAGTTACAATAAATTATAGATGCTTGATGTGATATCTCAATGAGCTGATTGTATTTGTCAGCATCACTTTTGCAATCAATGAAAAAGGTTTTTAAAAAAAGCCATTTTCCGCCGGGCGTTGGTGGCGCACGCCTTTAATCCCAGCACTCGGGAGGCAGAGGCAGGCGGATCTCTGTGAGTTCGAGGCCAGCCTGGTCTACAGAGTGAGTTCCGGGACAGCCTCCAAAGCCACAGAGAAACCCTGTCTCGAAAAAAAAACAAAACAAAACAAAAACAAAAAAAAAAAGCCATTTTCCTTATGGTTTTGAGGTAAAATTCAAGGAAACCCTATCTGATATCAAGATACATTTTTTATTAATGACATTAGTCAAAACTCATGCTTTTCATAGAATTGAAAATGAGTTCCAGATCAGTAAGCAGTAAAAATTTTAACTGACAATAAAACTATTTTGTTTTTTTGTTTTAATACAGAGTCTTGACATGAACCTTGGCTGGCCTAGAACTAACTATATAAACCAAGCTGGCCTTGAACTCACAGAGATCCACCTGCCTCTGCCTCCTGAATCCTGGGACTAATGGTGTACACCACCACACCTGGCTCACTCAGTATTTTGAGTTTACAGTGGTTTTACCAGTTAAGTTATAGTTCCCCTCTGTGACATCAGTGGACTTGAAATACAGTTAGCTATAGGTAATAAACTTGCAGAATTGCTTCTTTCATTTTGTCAGCTGACATTAAGTGCTTGTGGTATGATCAGTGGTCTCTGAGCTTTCTGCCTATATCATAACAGATCAGTAAGCAAGCAATCAGTATCAAAATGTGAATGAGATCTCACAGGCAACACCAATAACCTGTGAAGGATGAAACAGAAAATGGGGCAGATCTGAAATATGCTTCTATCATGTTTATTAAGTCTTCACTTAAATATAGTCCTTTACAGAAATATTTATTTATACAGCAGTCAAAACATACATATTAAAACACATGCCCAATCAGTGGAGCCCTGAGTTAGAAAATGTTAGATATATGTTAGTCATGGTTGGCTTCATAGACAGAGAGAAATGTAACTGAGAAATCAAACCTTTTTGTAATAAGTTTTTTTCTGTCCTACCAGCCAGCTTCCAAATAACAACACGGAGACTTGTTAATTATGGAAGCTTGTGTTAGTTTAGGCTTATTTCTAACTAGCTCTTAAACTTAAATTAACCCATTTCTGTTCTTCTGTGATGCCACGAGGCTCATGGCTTTTTACCTCTCCTCCTATGTGTCCTACTTCCTCTGCCTTTACCTGGCGACTCTCCCTTTTTTCTTCCCAGAGCTCTCTCTGTCCAGAAGTCCCACCTATTCCTCCTGCCCAGCTGTTGGATGTTTAGCTTTTTATTAAACCAATCACATATCTCTACATATTCCACAAAGCCCTAGGTCCTTTACCCCTCCAAGAAGCACTTCACCTGAGTGGTGGTCCCTTAGGTACCCCCTTTGGACAGGTTATTGTAAGAGTCACTGAGTGACTAACAGCAGAGAAGAGACAGAAGCACAGAAAACGTAAAGCTCACTGCACGTGTGCACACCTACCAATTAGTCTCTAAAGGAGACGGCGAAACTGTCTTCATCTCGTGAAGATGAAGCAGAGAGTTCCTACTAGTCTTCTACTAGTTCCTACATGCTTTAAGGAATTGAAGTATCTGTCACTTGAGCTGAAAGTCACCGCCCGACTCTTTTATTTCTTTTTTTAAGATTTTATTTATTTGTTATGTGTACAATGTTCTTCCTGAATGTATTCCTATATGCCAGAAGAGGGCACCAGATCTCATTATAGATTGTTGTGAGCTACCATGTGGTTGCTGGGAATTGAACCCAGGTCCAGTGGAAGAGCAGTCAGTGCTCCAAACTGCTGAGCCATCTCTCCAGCTCTCCCTTTGTTTTTCCAGAGCCAACAACCAGTCTACACCTTCACGCTCATTGCAACATCTAGCACAGTTCACTCACAGACGCAAATCAACTAGGTGATTAGCAAAATGTGATGACTGTGAATGTGCTCTGTCTTACAGCAGGCCTGGCCAGGTGGGGCCCAACAGATCCTGCTTCCTCCAGCCTGGCAGCAGCTGACTGGCGTGGCCACCCACACATCGGTGCAGCATGCAGCTGTGATCCCTGAGACCATGGCAGGCACTCAGCAACTGGCCGACTGGAGGTAAACAGGAAATCCTTCTGTGTCAAACAAGTGTTTCTGAGATGGGAGTTGTGTCTACCACTGACAGAGAACATCACAATGGTCACAGTGTAATGGGAGTTGGTTTAAACAATATACCAGGATACCAAAGATTTAGCTTGATTAATTTATAGTTGTTGGGCCCCAGCCCCCACGGGGTCTCTGTGAGTTGATTGTCAGCCAATAACCACAGGTGCATCCTGTTTTCTCGTCCTGGCTGACAGCCCCGGCCTTGCCCCACTGGCTTCAACCTCTAATTATGAAAACACAAACTCTTACACCTGGGGTTTCTCCACTGTGCTGTAAGTCTGTATATAAGTATGCTCCCTCCTTGCAATAAAAACACACGCATTCTCTTAGCACAAACGATCAGACGGCTTGTCTTTCACTTAAATCTCCAGGCTTTCGCCTGACACATTAAACTTGCTCGTGGTGCAGGCGCCACATATAGTTACTGTCATTTTCTACACAAATCTTGGTTACATCTTTTAAACACCAGTGCAACTCACCAGACCTGGCTGAGTTTTTCTGAGAATTAAGTTCCTTTCAGAAAGCAAGCATTCATCACCAGTGAAGGAATACAGAAGAGTCCCCAGAGCCCTAAGCAATTCTTGAAAGTGTTCTCATGAAGTTTAGAGACACAGGTGCCTGTCTGTCTGAACTCCCCAGGGAAGGCTTGACAGATGAGGTGTATTTGGAAGGAGAAGTTCTAGCATGTTTGTTGAGTTGCCTCATCAATTAACAACATGTCTTAAGGAGAAGAGTTCACCCTCCCGCAGACCCCAGGCCACTGCCTGCCAGCACCCTGCATCTGTTTCCAAAACTACCCACGCAGCTCACTGACCCCCTCATGGACACCCTGCTCTGCTGTTGTCATAAGCACCTGTCACTTTCCCTCATCCCAACACAACCACAATGCCCTCCTTGACCAGTACAGAGCCATGTGACAGCCCTCAAATTGTCCCCATCTCTGTGGCCCCTTTGAAGTATTCCTTCTGCAGAAATTACTCCCTGCTATCCCTGGTAGTCTGTATACTGCCCTGAGGGTCCCCCTACTTCCTTTTCTGAGCGTAGAGTTCTTGGGTTGAATGTGGCAGTATATATTTGAAACCTTGGCACATAGGCTAAGGCAGAGGATTACAAATTTGAGGCCAGCCTGAGTTCATAGTGAAACTGTAAATAAGTAAATAACTCTCGAGAAAAGGTATGCAGGTGGCTAAGTCTGCCCCTCTGAATCATGTCTCCTGCAGCCTTTTTCTTCTCCATGTAAACTACTTCCTGACTGCTAACAGGAGAACACATGGGCCGTCCCCATGGCCGTCCCCATGGCCGTCCCCATGGCTGCAGTCTGCACTCAGTGGAAGCACTTTCAAATCAGGCAAAACTGGTTTCTATTCTGGCTCTGCAAGACCTGGGGCAACTTATTTGACTTTTTTGGCCTCAGTTTTCTTTCTTTTCAATAAAGTGGGGTCATGATGCTTACCTCACAGGATTGTGGTGTGGAGGGGAGGAGTGTCAACTAAAACAAAACACAAAGCACTTGGCTGTCTTTAGCATGCAGTGTAGCAGAGCCCGAGCATAACAGAGTGAATAAGCTGGAGTCTTCCCTTCACTCATTCGGGACAGCTCACACTCAGCAGGGCTGCCTTTCTTCAAGCTCATTAGGAGTGGCAGCAGCCAAGTGGAAAGCTATGTGACCTACAGATGAGCTCCCCTCCCCCTTGTTCTCCTGAAAGACACTGTCACCACCACCACATCGTATTTCCTTTGTCCTTCAGCAGTCAGAGTCCCATCTCCGCAATATTCATGCGCACTTTCCTACCCTGCCTCCTTCCATCTCTCAGTGGTAATCTCCAAATACCCCCACCCTCTGCATTTCACCGTGGGCCAGAGCCATGACCAGAAAACAAGAGCAGGGCACCAGTGCTGCCCTTGTTCCCAAGAGAAATAAACAGCAGAAAGTCTACCCGACCATTTCTAAAAGACTATCAAATCACTATAAAATGCTCATCTCTTTCTCTTTTTCTCTTCAAGTTACAAACATGGAATTTGATTTTTTTTAAGTTTAAATGATTCCTTAGCTTTTAACTTTATTGTGTGTTAAATGGGCTTTTATGGACAAGTCTTTGAATTAATCACTTTAAAAGTTTCTGTTGAAAAACAAGGCTTTAAGCACCATCCAAACTAAATGGTGAGACTTTAAAATGTAACCCATTTCCAGGATGCAGGCTGCCAGCATAGTTCTCTCTGCATGTGTATTAATTTTGATTTAATACACACTCTATACATGTCTAGTCACCCTTCAGTTAATCTAATTGTTCATTCCGCAAGCGTGTAATTAACTGATCAGCTGCTACATGCCTGAGCATTGTGTTAGCTACTGGGGGAATTGAAAAGAACATTAATGATTCCTAATGCCAGAGACATATGGCTCCCAGTCACCAGCTTGTTTTTCACATTAGCTACAATTTCCTCATTAATAAAATGGTATTTCTAAGACATCCTACCTACCTCACAAAGCAGAATAAAAGGGCCCATTGAAGTTGCTATGTAAATTCTAAAACAAGATGTTCATATTAATGCTCAGCATAGTCACCTGTCCAGGAACTTTAGAGGCTAGAGGAACTATTTATCCCATCTCTTTCCCCTTGAAAGTCCTGGTTCTCATCAACCAGCCTGGTTTCTCCTACTTCCTCCACACAGGACTCCCATTCTACAGTTCTGGGAACCCCACATGCCTGCTCTCCTGCCAGGGCCCATCTCTTCAGCCACCTCACAGCAGAGGGAGAGAGAGCAACAGTGGCCATCCTTCATCTGGGGAGAAGCCTCATCTTGTTAAAGAGCTCAGCTTCTGCGAAACCACTAAGGGGCCTTTTCTCTTTCAGGAACACACATGCTCATGGAAGCCATTACAATCCCATCATGCAGCAGCCTACACTCTTGACTGGACATGTGACCCTTCCAGCAGCCCAGCCCTTAAATGTGGGTGTAGCCCATGTGATGAGGCAGCAGCCAACCAGCACCACCTCTTCCAGGAAGAGTAAGCAGCACCAGCCTTCTATGAGGTATGTGCTGAGAGCCTTGGTGCCCAGAGAGCACCAGAAGATAGAAGTGGTAAACACTGCTTGGAGGCAGGGATTGCTGGTTCACTACCCTGGCATGGTGCAGAGAGCAGCTCTTCCTCCACGATCTGAGGAAACATTTCGTGGAATACTCCAGCATTTGCTGAAGCATTCTCTCTGGGCTCTGTGCAAATGCAGCCCTGCCTCCTGACTCTTCCTAGTCCCTGTCGCTCTGGCACTCCAAGGCGGAGACCTGAAGTCATGGTGTACCTAGCATCTTGAGTGCTTCAGTTCTCTTTATTAAAGAACAAGTAAGGAAGATTTTATTTTGAGACCACAGGGATGGGTACAAAAAATGTTGCAGTGGAGGGAAAAGTGGACTCAGCTCTGCACATGGTTTGGACAGTGAGAATTTGCAGCCAGAGAGTAGTGTCTAGGTCGTGTAGGGAAAACAACTAGGAGACAACAGAAACTGGAGAGATTCTCTGATGGTGAGTAGCTGTCATCCAAGGGACAATGGAGGATGAGGAATCTGATGAGGTATCAAGAGGATGGGAAGAGCCCCTGGCTAAAATGAACCAGCTAGGCTGAGCTGAAACTAGACTTTATAAAGAAGTGCACAGTTGAGGAGGTTCAAAGTCTGGTTAAAGGTGGCCACAGCAGGCCTCTGAGTCTCCATTTGAATACAAATTACAGAGATATCTTTTTCAAAACTACTAGAAAAAAATGCACTGTCTTTAAGATTTGAGGTCAGAAATATAACTCATAACTTAAAAATAAGCTCTGTCACTAGCAAATTAGATCTAGATTGTGAAACTACAGAACTGCTTCCACATGGACACATTTGCCTGATTGCTTAAATACAACTTTGGGGACTCCCAGTTGCTTAACAGTGGACTACTAATCTTTCCCATCCCCTGAACTCTTAATCCATCAAGATTGACACAAGGCCCCATGTTATATGTCACTTTGATGAAGGCAAACATAAATTAGCAGAACCAGAGACTAGCCATGAAAACAGGAATTCCAGGGAAGGTGGGAAAAAAGAGTTCCATATCTGGGTTGTAACCATGTATTTGTCAATAACTCATCAGACACTTCAGAAGGCAGGCTTTTAGAGCATATAGTATCAACTATAGAGTTCAATAAACCTGACTTTAAAAATAAACAAGAGCAAAAACCACACCTATATCTGGCCAAATAGATTTAGATCATGTAAATGCAGAGTTAACCACAGTTTATTATAGCGAGACCAAAAAGGGGGAGGGGGGAAAGACAGACATGACGAAGAGAGAAGATGAGAGAGGATGAGAGAGAGAGAAAGACGAGAGTAAGAGAGAGCGTGAGAGAAATGTAAGAGATAAAAGTGAGAGAGGAAGATGGGAGGAAGAGAGGATGAGATGATGAGAGGAAGACGAGAGTAAAAGAAAGAGAGTATAAGAAAGCGTAAGCGGGCAGGGGTCAGTCCTTTAAAGGGGTCCTTTGCACCTGCGTGGTTCTCACGGAACTCTGGGCTGGCCAGAGTGCTGCCTGAGTGCATCCTGCCAGGTAACAGGGCAGGCCAGCGTAGTGCCTGAACCTTTCGCTCTGGGCAAAAACAACTTGGAAAGGAAAGAGTTTATTTCGTCTTGCAGGTTAGAGTCCATCATCCAGGAAAGCCAAGGCTGGAACTAAAAGCAGAGGGCATGGATGAGCACTGCTTCCTGGCTTGCTCACAAACTCATGCTTACCTCCCTTTCTTACACGGTGCAGGCCACCTGCATAGCGATGGTACCACCCACGGTGAGCTGGACCTTCTTAAATCCCCACAGGCCAATCGGATGGACACATTTTCCTGACACTTTTCAAGTCTGTCCATCACACTGGTGAATTTTGTTTTCTTTTGTTTTTTCCTTCTTCCTTATATAGCCAGGTGCCAGAAGCTACATCTGTCTTTTCATTATCATTCGAAAATTAATTCAAGCAAAGGCTGATTTCCCTCAAGCTGGCATCCTTCTTCATAATCCCTTGTTAGGGTATTTCTGATAACACAAGGAAATTCTGCTTAAATCAGAGGCAGCTCCCCCAGAATGCTTTTGTGTGGCTGCCCTGTGACAACATGCCAACTTGGCCCCACAACCAGTTCAGCAAATCCCTCCCTTCTTCTCACCACCCAGCTGCTTCAGGTGAACACACTGCTTATGCATGTCAAAATCAGTATAGTTACTGTGCAAGTCATCTCCTCGATTCTTTTTGTTGTTATTGCTTTTGAGACAGGGTCTCACTTTGAAGCTCTGGCTGGCGTAGAACTCACTATGTAGATGAACCCTGGCTTCAGATTCACAGAGATCCACCTGCCTCTGCTTCCTGAGTAATGTGTTAAAGGCGTGTGCCGCACATGATACATTTGCTTCTTTTTAAGATCATTCTCCAACAAAACTGTGAGAAACCACACAGAAGGCTATCCTGTGTAGAAATGCAGCAGACGTGCTTTTTCCTGTAGCAATGCTGAGTAGACACTGTAGGTGCTGAAACCGTAAAAGCTACACCATGCAGCCACAGAATAAAAGAAACATCTAGCCAGAAAGCCTTACTACCAGCTCCAAAGAGGGCTTTATAAATGCAGCTGATGCCAACTACAGACAAATCAAGGTCACCTTTACTGAAAGCTACAGACAAATCAAGGTCACCTTTGCTGAGCTCTTCTCCTTGTCCTTCATCTCTTCACTTAGGAGGTGCTAGACTCTCTAAGGACATAGCAGGCCCAAAGGTTTGTCCTCTTTTGACTTTGATCTTCACTGTACAGATCCTAACCAGGGTCAGCAAGGGTCGATGAGAAGAAAAGAAGGTGATTGTTCCCCAAAGTTCCCAGAGCTAATTTAGAACTTCAGGTTGACCAATCCAATCTGAGAGAGGTGGCTCACCGGTGGGGAGCACTGCCTGCTCTTCTAGAACACCCATGGGAGCTCACAGCCATCTGTAATCCAGGCCCAGAGGATCTGATACCCTCTTCTGACCTCCTAGGGCACCAGGCATACACATACGTACATGCAGGAAAAACAGTCACACACAAAATAATGAATGACTCTAAAACTAATAAGTAACTTTAAGAGAATTAGAACTATACTACAATAGTCACATTTGACTTATCCATAGTTTTTTTAAAGTTCCTTTTAAAGTATACCTTCTTACGCTTGTACTTCTCCCAGTTTTTTATTATAATTCAAATTAATTGGTAAGCCTTTCATGAGGCTCAGGTCAAAATGTGAAATGGTTTGGTTTTGTTTTCCATTGTACACAAATCTGAATGGCCATAGCTTTTCCCACAAGAGAAAGAAGGGAAAGCTGAGCCAAGGGGCTGAGAGATCACTCCATCCGTAAATGCTTGTCACACAAGCATCAAGACCTAAGTTCAGTCCCTAGACCCTGCATCAAAAGCTGAGCATATTAGTGCACACCTGTAATTCAAGTATTGGGGGCAGGGGCCAGAGACAGGCTGATCCCGGGGAACTTGGGCAACCAGCTCAATCAGTGAGCTCTGGCCAGGGAGAGGCCTTGTCACAAAACACAAGGGGAGCAGCTGCTGAGGAACATCCTCGTAAGGCTAACATTCGGTATACACACATACACACACCCATCACTGAGGTTCTAGAAACTCTCACAGTGTCTTCAGTGTCTTAGGCTAGCAGTGTGGCTCCATTCTAGAGCGTCTGTGAGAGCCTGGATTCAGTCCCTAACACAGTAATATGGGGCATGCAGGGGTGGGGGTATTAAATAATAAACCAACCGTTACCAAGGAAACGAAAACCTGAGTGACAAACACCACTTTTTTCCACCACTCCTAAAACAAGACTCAGGTACCATTGAGGGAGGACTAGATGAAGTCAAAAGCTGGGGTTTAATCCTGGAGATTATCCTATGTGGCCATGTTGGGTGAACTAGCTAAAATCCTTATCAGGACAGCTACCCCTAGAAGACCAACTCTCAAGAACAGGTGTATGTGCCCAAGCCAGACCCAGAGAAGGTCCTATGGTGACTAACTAAAGGCCTATAGAGGTACCACATTTTCTGTCACAGATGGAGGCCAAGTGGTCTGGGCTTCAGACTTTTTTCTGTGGATATTTGGTAATGTGGTGTTCTCTGAAAGTTGGACCCCTTGGATGGAGATGTAGGGCCCTACTTTCCTCTATAGGTGTGTGTTGTTTTGTCATTACAGAAATGTCTCCACCTGTGAGGTGACCTCTTCACAGTCTACCAGCTCCCCTCAGCGATCCAAGCGTGTCAAGGAAAACACTCCCCCACGGTGTGCCATGGTGCACAGCAGCCCAGCCTGCAGCACCTCAGTCACCTGCGGGTGGGGTGACGTGGCCTCCAGCACCACCAGAGAGCGGCAGCGGCAGACGATTGTCATCCCCGACACCCCCAGCCCCACAGTCAGCGTCATCACCATCAGCAGTGACACGGATGAGGAGGAAGAGCAGAAGCACGCCCCCACCAGGTGAGGGCAGAGGGCATGCGTGCGTGCGCCACACACTGCCTTTTCCGGGATCTGGGCCATTCATGAACATGATGGTCATTCCCTGCTAATCCCTAAATTTTCATTTTGCCATGTTCTTGCATCCACAATTATTTCATGAGAGTGACAAGTAGGTCACTTATTCAAAACCAAAATAATTCAGAGTGAGTCTGGCCTTAAAGAATAGTTACCGGCTGGGCGGTGGTGGCGCACGCCTTTAATCCCAGCACTCGGGAGGCAGAGGCAGGCGGATCTCTGTGAGTTCGAGGCCAGGCTGGACCGATAGCCTCCAAAACAATACAGAGAAACCCTGTCTCGTAAAACCAAAAAAAAAAAAAAAAAAAAAAAAAAAAAAAAGAATAGTTACAGTCCCTAAACATTTGAGAACATGAGACTATAAAAATGGGGCTCCCAATCACAGCTTAACACTTATAAGTTTAAAAAATGCTTCCTCGGACTATTGAACTTACTCCCAGTTCATCAGGATATCTCTCTAACATTGCCTTGGCTCATTCACAATTTGAAGTAGTTGTCCAATTAATCAGAAATTTCCCTGTGTCTGATTAACCCAGTCCTTTAAACTGCTAGTTGGCTCTTTACCCAGAGAGCATTACTGTTTATTCCATAGTAGCAATAATTCATTTTACTCTGTGTGTGCTTCCTAGGTGGAGGGAAGAAATAGTTATTGTATTTGCAAGGCTGCTAACCCTGGCACCAGAGCTCCTTTCTGCACTTAGCACCCGACTCTGACAACACATGCCTTCCTCTTGGGCTGCCAGCTCAGGGGCCCAGATAGACGCCCACCTCCTTGTGTGTTCCGTCTCACAGCCACACCCTGTTGGTGCCTTTGCATTAGGAATGAGGCAAGGGGAGGGGAGCCTGCCACCCCAGTCCAGGGCTTCCAGTCATCACCGTACTTCCCACGACTGGGTTCAAAGTTCTGTGTTTACTGTTAGGCCAAAATTAGTGATTCCTGATTGGATATAATGCTGCTAGTTATTAATCATAATGTTTTTGATTAAATGATAGATTTCATGCGTGAAGTCATTACAAGATGTTCAGCTAGACCAATTATAGCACTCTCGTTGTAGCAGTACCTACAGGATGCAACCCTTCCTTCCTGGTGAAGTTTAGTGGTCTGAGTTTTCACCAATAGAGCTAGTATGTGTCTCATTACCGTGTCCTGTTTTCCTGTTGAGTGGTTCGGTGTGATCATCGGTGTAGTTTGGTAATACACTGTTGTGTTTCTGTCCCTGCCATTTGCTAGGTGTCTGAGGACACAGGGTGGGTGAGGCAGGCAGGCGTTTCCAACTCCAGCGCCACTTTACACTCCATCTGCTCATGCCAAGACTGGCTCCACTCCCTCTGCCCTTACAGCCCCATCTTTCAACCCTGCGGAACCCGAGGGCTCGCTCTCCTTCCAGACAGGAAGGCTTTTCCTACCCGAGACTGGCCCCTGGCCTGGGGGAGCCTGTGCATATGGAGCACTGGCATAAAAAGCGCTGAGCCGCCTTGAGCACAGCTGGAGAAATGCAAAAGCAACTTAAAGACCTGGCTGCCAACTAGATTGCAATGCCAGTTTTAAAGGCTGAGATCCGAGTTGACACTAACCCTGAACATGAGTGCCCAGGAGAGAACTGCAGAGAGTGGGAGCTCAGGACGACGGCCACCTCTCCAGCAGCCAGAGCCAGTAGTGGGAAAGTGGGAGGCAAGTGGAACACAAAACTCCCCAGGAGGAGACATAATCGAAATGCGTGGCAGCTTGTAAGAACAGTGATGAAAATGACTCAGACTCAAAGGTGGGCTGCAGCCTGTGGGCAGGTGACATTGGGAGGAACAGCCACAAACTGAACCTACAGTTATACTGTAGGAAATATAGGAGACTGCCAGCCTTCACCAGGATAGGAAAACATGGTGGAGATGCTTTTCTGAGAGACTGCAGACTGAAGCCACAGCGTCATGTGAAGGGCCTCAGCCACCCTCTGCGGTAACAGGAAGCTTGCAGAGGAAGATGCAGTAGTGATATTCTCTGCAGAGATAAATGACTATTGCCTTAGAAGATGGTTCAGCACCCAAGAGGATAGGAAAGTTTACCTGAAGAAGCAACAGTCAGTAGCGCTTACTCATAGAAAAACTACTGTGTAATTGTATCATGTAACTGTGACTTTATTTAACAGTGAGAAAGGAAAGGGACTTAGGATTACCTGTTCCTGGAAATCATAATTGTCATAAAATTTAACATAGTGAATATTTACCAGCCCTATCACTGTAAGATATTAATGTCTGGAACTCCAAGTGTTATACAAATAAGGGGAACAGTTTCTCTTTGTGAGGCTTGCAGGTAACAAGCAAGATAAGACATGTACAAATCGTTCTGCTTTGTGTCAGAGAAACCAGCCAAGTAGTGAGGAGAAGTACTTGAGGGGAGAGAGTTGCAGATTTAAGTGAGGTGACTGGTGTGGTCTCAGAGATGAGCAGAGGGCTGGGGGACATCACAGGGGCAAAGCTCATCCGTGAGACATCTCATTTAAACCACCCCAGTCCCTCAGTCTGTCGTCCTTGTCACCAAAATACAGTTCTCCTTGGTAGTGAGTGTCTTGATTGTTGTGTCTTCCCAACTTAGTTTCCTACTTGATGCTTACCCCAAATCTAGCGTTCATAGTTCCCAGTGTGACCCTGAAGTACTGATTGCTTCCCTCGGGCGGCTCAGCCTCAGCAAACAGGTAGAGCCGGGGTCAAGGACACTCACGGAGATAACAGAGCCTCACCACAGAGTGGTTTTTAGCATCATAAATGATAAATCACATTTTTAGGCCTTATTGACAGTGTCACTCAATCTCTGAGACTAGATGACTTTGCCTAGAATTATTAAAAAATGTCAAGGGAGGATCATCATTCTTGACCACAGATATGAGCACTGTTAGTTGCCACCAACCAGGAGAATTGCACAGCATGTAGAGACACAATGGACAAATGAATGAACTGAGGAGAGTCATAGCAGACCTGCACACACGCTTTACCCAGCCTTGTCACATCTATTCCCCGTTCAGAAAGGGGAAACTAAGGCCCGAGAAGGCCACATGGCTCAGTCAAATGAATGAAGGCTCACGTAGAAGAACTGGGATTCCTTCAGGAAGTGCTATGTCGTTGAAGACATTACATTATCCATTACTGAGAACATCACTTTTTAGTCACTAGTTTAGCAGCTATTGATTCTGTCCTGCCTCCTCCTCTGACCAGTCCCATGAGAGCATCCCGTGTGTGCAGGGAGCTCTGACAGGGCCATGAGGGGTTGAGAGCACAGGTGTGGGTGCTGAGGCTGCCTCAGGAATGGGCAGAAGTTTAAATCTTCTCGTTGCTGAAGATCGTTCTAATAAATGGGCAGGCCACTGAAAAGTCAGCGGGCTGTCTTTTTTCATGGTTTACTAATGACTAGGGGAATAAAGACAGAAAAATTGAACAATAAGCACCTTTTTGCTACATTTCCCAGGACTAAGTAGAACTGGTCTTATTTTACATATGTTAAGTGTTTTTGATGAGGGAAGCATTTGTTGGTCTGTCTTCTTTTACCTGGAATCATCATGAATAGTGTTTACAAGGACATGTCTGTTTATCCAAATCCTCGTGCCTAACTCACCTTATGTGGAAACAGTCTTATGGAAGCCATGACATGCAAATTTCTGTCACAAGGAAAACATTTTAAGTGTGTGATCAAAGTGATTCATTTCGTCGGGCGTTGGTGGCGCACGCCCTTAATCCCAGCACTTGGGAGGCAGAGGCAGGCGGATCTCTGTGAGTTCGAGGCCGGGCTGGACCGACAGCCTCCAAAACAATACAGAGAAACCCTGTCTCGTAAAAACCAAAAAAAAAAAAAAAAAAAAAAAAAAAGTGATTCATTTCAGCTGATCAGCAAGAAATTTTTTGTCCAGGTCCCATTATTCCCATGCCCATTCACAGAGTCACTTGAATGGCCATCTCTAGTAGGGGAGTCAGCTCACAGGACACGAGCAGCTGCCAACTTTGCCAACAACGTCGACTCTAAGTGTATAGATATTAGATATAAAGGCAATTTCTTAAATCAATCTTAAAGTGTTTATCTAAAAAGAGGGGGGCCTCTAGGGCTGAGTTCAGTACCTACCCCAAAAAAGAGTTGACCCAAGATATTTTGTTTCCTTATACTAAATTGAAAAGATGGTAAAATTATTCCAGAAAAGTCACAGTCAGAAACTCACAAAATATTGTTCAAACGACTTCTGCATAAAAAATTAACAACAGGAGGAAGAAAAATAAAAACTCACTTATTATTTATTGCCTGAGCAAAAAAAATCAACCCAAATTGGAATTTTTTTGCATTGACACATACAACAATGTAAAGTCGCCGCCCTCCTATACTAGTTAAAAAGCCCCATACAGCCAGTGGTGGTGGCACAAGTATTTAATCCCAGCACTTGGGAGGCAGAGGCAGGAGGATCTCTGTGAGTTCCAGGCCAGCCTGGTCTACAGAGCAAGTTCCAGGACAGCCTCCAAAGCAATACAGAGAAGCCCTGTCTCGGGAAACCAAAAATTAAAAAAAATAAAAAAGCTGCTTAACATCAGAGAGAGCACTTTGGTCTGCAGGCCTTGACTTCTCTTCCTTCTCACTGTATTTCTGGCTTTAGAACAGAAGGGGTATGGGGACAAAGCAGTAAGGCCATCTGAACCCTCATGTCTTATTCCCTCCAGCTGGAGAACTCCATGCCCAGAGAAAACCACTGTTAACAAATGGACCCTGGAGAAACCAGACAGTGGTAGCTAGGAACCTCCCTGGGAAGGCAGAGGGCTGTGTAACTTAGTGATTAGGACTGCACATGCCTTGGCCTTGGGCGAGCAGGTGACTCAAGCCCTGCTTGTATGCAGTTTCTCCACCATGTAGTCGTGCTGTGAGGACTGAAGGAGGCCGCACACACAGCACTCTGAGTGGCGGTTGGTGTGTATCCAGAGCG